GTCGGATGAATTTGCAACCAACATTTCTTCTATAATTGATAATTAACTCGTAGCTACGTTTTCATTTCAAACGAAGCTGGGAGTTCTGCGAGTAATGATGATCGTTAACTTCAAGTTCGGTTATTACTACCACACCTGATCTTGCTATTATTAGCTTTGTGGAACTCAGTATTTAATTTGTATCTAAGATGTGCTCCTTATTGTAAAAATCTTGCCCATTCTAGCAAGAAGAAAAGAGCATTCTTTCTTAGAGTTGTATGTTTTCTCAATGAAACATAATCAAAGTGCAGGTCGCATACTTCTAGATTTACGCTGTAATTGTATTGTTTAATCAATTCTAGTCGAGATCACATAAATTTTGTCTTTGAGAAAGAATCATTGGTGAAACTACAAAAGATTTTTGAAAATTTGATTTTGCTAATCTAATTTTTTCCACATCTTTCTAAACTGACTGAACATCGCCGTTGTCGATGTTTTTTTGAAATGTCTGGAATTAGCCTCACTTAACCTTGGGGAAATCCTTAATCTGCCCATCACTTCGTGTTCTAGGGTAGGTGTTCGGCCGCAACTACTTTATGATTATGTCGCACATTAGAAGTTTTAGAAGTTTGCTTATGATTTTTTCAGTCTTTAGTAGTACTTTCAATGGGATTTAGCCATGCACAATTTGCTTCTTTGGTGGTAACCTTGTCGAGAGCTAGGAGAGAAAGACGCAACGAGAGCATTTCGAGCGCTTGCTTGCAATACCTGGCTTATGATTCATCCTTTGTTTCGATCACAACAACTATTCATTTCTTAAACGCCAGTTTCTCCATTAATTCATGATCATTTCCTAGATTTTAGTAGTTTTAGCTATTTGGTTATGTTAGCCGCTGGTCAACTTATTAGCGAATGGCAGACCGCGGAACAAATCGAAAAGTATGTCGAACTTGGAGATCTCTTGGAATTCAGAAGAGTTGCAACTATCGGCGGTGCTCCTCATGGAATCTACAAGGTAACCAGGTGTCAAGGGAGTAATTGAGAAGTAATGAGGGTCATTTTAGCATTGGGCAGTGTACATAGGACGCCATGATAATGTTCCTCTTGTTGTTCATTTATCTGGTGATGGAGCGGATTTCGATACATCTGGCGATACTGGCAGTGTCAAATTTGATTCATTGGGTGGATCTTCGGGATTATTTAGAGCTAGCACTGCAGAGGTTTGTTATTCAAGGTTCAAGGGATAGAGGCGGAATGAAGCTCATGCGCAATCACTTTTCTTTCTGATTCAATTATGAGCTTTGTTGCGATCTCGAGTTTAGAACTCACAGTTCAGTTTGGATCGCGGTCTATAGTTGAATAATTTTTT